TTTTTTTTTCTTTTTTTTTTTTGGCGTTGTGATTTGGGGGTTACCGGTCGTTGGCCAGTGGGTACCCCTCCCGACGCGGCGCGTATACGGGAAGCGCCGCGTCCGATAGCTGGGCCAGGTACTGGTGGTTTAACGGGCTAGACCCCAAAGGACACTCCATTTGTTTCCCCAATGCATGGGGTGAGAAGGGTGGCTACCGAATTCATCCAAATAGAATGTCTGGTCACGATGATCTCTCTACAATACTCCAGGCTGAACAAAACAAAATTTAGGAAATGTCATAAGCGGCTTGGTAAGCCCTCTCGCCGACGAAACCTATGTATCTTTTTGCCCCCAAACGAGGGAAAAAAAGTGAACATTCAATAAGATGACGGACGCTCCTGTGGGCATTAAGGAGATATCAAATAATTTGGGTGTTGTCTCTCTTCAATCAATTGCTCCGCCATGCATCGCGACTCCGTCTAACAAAACGGGGGGATTTTGCAATCACGCATCGAGCTTACCATCAACAGTATCGCTGATACCTCCTGCGGAGGGTGAGCTATTGATAGTTTTGTCGAAGTCACCACTGACACTGCCTCCATCACCTTCATCAATTGCGCCTGTTGTCCCAACACTTGTCATGGAGGCTTTTCACGATATGGGGTACGTGGCACCCTAGGCCGCGGCCGCAGGATCCGAGTCCGTGGCCAGGATCCTTGGCCACAGGCCCGCGGCCGAGTCCGCGCGCTTCCGTGCCACGCGCAGGTGGGCGCGCGCCCTCGAAATCCGCACGTGCGGTTGGCCTGCGCACGTCGGCCGCTGCAGGCCTATGGCAAAAAAAAAAAAAATCAAAAATTTCGGGGGGGCGGGGTGATTTTTGATATGTTAAAAAAAAAAAAAAATTAGAAAAGACAAATTTGATTGATTGATGGATTGATTTTTTTTTTTTGTTTGATCGATTGATTGATTGTTTAAATGATTGATTGTTTGATTGTTTGCTGTCTCTTATACACATCTAGATGTGTATAAGAGACAGCACACAGGGTTGTAGAATAGAATGTTTTTTTTTTTCAAATTAAGAAAAATGGTGAAAATTAGAAAAAAAATATATGGGCGTGTAGGGTTTTCCAAACACCACACGCTCTTTTTTTTTCCATCTATTAAAAA